TTTGGAAAGATGGGAAATAGTGATATATTTTAGTGTAATTGGAAAGACTATTCGACCAATGTTATTATAATAATCATCAAAAAAAGTTTAGTGGTGTGGAGTGCATGCTTCGTTGAGTTTGTTATGATAAAAGTCTTATTTTACCCCTAAGTACGTTAATAGGGGTTCCAAGGGGGCAGCACCCCCGAGACGGGATTCAAGGTGCGGCAGCCCCTGCGGGGTCCATGGGGAAGAACCCCTGGTTGGGGTCGAAAGGAAATCCGGACGAGAGCATCTTATCACTTTGCGTGATTAGATGCAATCGTTGGAAGGAGTCGCGAACGGAACTTCTTCTTCTTCCCCGCTTCTATAAGAATCTCGCAGGTTGGTCGAAAATATAGAGGTTAAAAAATCATCACAAATTCTTATTACATTCATACTTTGTTCTATACTTCTCTCTAAAGTGTATCCTATTTATAAATTCGTGCGAACCGAAAAATAGTTTCAATCTGAAGGTGTTTACATATACCTTTCAGAGAATTACTGATTCAATATTCCTAGCAAATAGCTTATGGACATTGATTTCTGGGAAATGACTTCTAGAAATAAAACTTTTTTCTGGTGTTTAGTTCAATGTTTAGAAAATAGACATTAATATCTATGAATATATCATGGCCACAATTTAGCATTAGAGCGAAATCGAGGGAGGGAGGGAGGGAGGGGCCGACCTGGGCGGGGATTCTAGCGCCGATTGTGAAGATGAAATTACTGAAATCGCCGGAGATTGAGGACGCCAAGACGGTGAGGGGATTGTAGGCGCCGCCGTTGGTGACCTTTCCGAGGAAAGCGAAGAAGAACATGACGGCGACGGCTAGGGCATGCCTGAGGATCTCGCCGTCCAGGTCGTGGTGGCCGAACACCAAAAATCGGTAGACGAAGACCTTGATGAGGACGCTAGACCATACCCACATGAAGGACATCACGAAATCGGCGGCCAGCAGCCTCCACCCGCTGCTTTGCCCCATTGCCGTACCTCGGGGCGGGAAGGTTAAAGGCGGAGCCGGCCTTTTTTGATGGAAGGGAATGGGAAGAAGGTTTTTTACTCAAGAAATTCCCTTCAATCAAATTAAAAAGAAGTCGTATGCACCGAATACTAGTATTTGTCTTTTTTGATGGAAGGGAATGGGAAGAAGGTTTTTTACTCAAGAAATTCCCTTCAATCAAATTAAAAAGAAGTCGTATGCGCCGAATACTAGTATTTGTCTTTTTTGATGGAAGGGAATGGGAAGAAGGTTTTTTACTCAAGAAATTCCCTGCAATCAAATTAAAAAGAAGTCGTATGCGCCGAATACTAGTATTTGTCTAGGGATATGGTAGGGTACACCAATGTGTATCCCAAATGTACAACACTCTCTTTTCTACCATTTATTTTATTTTATTATTTTATTTTTTTTTGATTTTTTCTTGCTTTTTTGTGTGGTGATGGAGGGGTGGGGGATGTTTGGGGTGTACCCCTAGCATTTTCCTTGTTTCTAAACATACTCCCTCTCCCTCATAAAATTTGTCACCATTAAAACATCTTTAGTCCAAGATTTTTAAGTTGTTTCAAGTTTCAACCAAAAACATGTTGGTTCCAATGTTCCCTTTGTCACTTTATAGTTAAGTTGTTAATTTTTGTTGACATTATTTTTTGACAACAATCATTTTGTAGTCTGTAATAGATAATTGTTTTGTTAGTATTAAGCTGTAACATATGTCAGTCATCAAAACCAACAAGAGATTTTTGAATGTTTGTTTATTCATGACTCTATGGTTACTGAGTCCTAGTGTCTGCTACTTTTTATTATCTTTGAAACTTCTCTCCTCACAAGCTCTCGTCACAAGACAATAACTCTTGAGACACGCACAGTCGTGCTGTACTTGCAGAAGAAGTAGAATAGTGGTTGATATCCAGCAGAAGTCTTCAACTATGACTCAGCTACACATAGTTGATATTCAGCAAGAGACTCTTGATGCAACTCTAGTAGAAAACTATTGAACAGATTATGATCTATCTTAAGTTCCCAGGACTATTCATAAAATAGATTTTGTTCTGTAACACGACCCCTTCCTACACTCTTTGTATTAATGGGAAAAATGAAAGTTTTTTTCAAATGAGACAGAGGTATAGAACAAGAAGATTCAGTATCACCCCTCATATTTTTATTGGTTATGGAATACCTTACAAGAATCTTGGTTCAATTTGCAAAGGAGGATAAGCTAAGATATCATCCCATGTGTAAGGATATTAAACTCATTAACCTATGTTTTGCTCATGATTTGATTATCATATGCAAGCTGATTTGAGGTCTATCAAATGTATTTTGAGAGCTTTGACACATTTCAAGGACACAACTGGGATATCCATTAACCTCAGCAAATCTCAAATGGTGATGGTAGGGGTGAGCCCATTGAAAAAAAAGGAAATAACTGAATGTGCTAACATTCTTAAAGGTATGCTGCATTTTACATATTTGGGTTGTCCTATCACTACTAGTAGAATGTCCATGGTTGATGGGGATTTACTTATTGAGAAAATCACAACAAGAATCACCAGTTGGAAAACCAACCATCTATCTTATACTGGTAGGGTCGGGTTAATCAACTCAGTATTATATGGTATCATCAATTTTTTGGGCAAGGATATTCATGATTCCAAGTAAAGTGATGAAAAGAATCCAAGCCCTATGTAGTAACTATCTGTGGAGTGCTGCTGAACACCACAAAAAGGTTACTCTTGTTAGTTGGGAAGATACTTGTTTACCTAAAAGTCAAGGAAGAATAGGGCTAAAAAATATTGTTATGTGGAATAAAGCCCTTGTTATAGAGCTAAACTGGGATGCAGCTAATAAGAAAGATAACTCATGAGTTCGGTGGATTCATAGTAGATATCTCAAAAATATCAACTTTTGGGATTATAAACCAAAACCTGATGCTTGTTACTCCCTCCGTTCTAAAAAAGGTTCATAGTTTGACCAAGTGTAAAAATAAGGAAGTGTTAAACTGTAGTTGACTTCCAATTTTTCGCTTGATGTGTTGAGTAAAAGTAAGATGTGATGAATAGATTATTAGAGAAAAGTATGATGTGATAGATAGGATATGAAAAAGTAAGGGTAAAAGTGGGTTTTTAATAGAAAGTGGAAGTATTTTGTTAGAAGTAGAAAAAATGAAATAGAAAGTGTTTTGAGAACGGAGGGAGTATTATTGAAAAATAATAATTAAAGTTAAGAGAGATTTTGAAAGATGTCTATACAAGGTAGTTACACTCCTAAAGAGGGGTATAACTGCTTCATAGGGAAATTACCTAAGAGTGGATGAGATGATATTGTGTGGAATATGCTGTCTATACCCAAACATCAAATCAATTTCTAGTTACTTTTAAAGGACAGAATCCAAACTAGGAAGTGGCTAAGCAAATTTCTACACATTAGCATGGATTGCCTCTTATGTGGGAGAGGAACAGAAGATTGTAATCATGTGTGTTTGGGGATGTGCCTATTTCCAAAAAGTGTTCAAGAATATCATGGCTGTTAAGAGTATCCCACATCGGAAAAGTGTGAGAAAAATAATCGGTATATAAGTTTCTGAGTTAAACTAACTAATCGATTGGATTCAATCTTTTAATGTGATTCGATCCAAGTGTCTTATTACCCAATCCTGTTGTCCATTCCCCATCTTCCCTACCCTGCCTGAAATGCAAGGAAACAAAAAACTTCATTCTCAAGAGTTCATCAAAGAAGAAGGATGTATTGATAACACTGGATTCAATCTTAATTATTGTTATATAAACAACAAGATAAATCGTACGGTTTCATCTCTTTTTATGTAGTTTTGGTGTAGACATTATTGTAACTCTTCCTTGCATATTTTGATGGTAATTAATAGAAGTGTGTCGTGGTTCAAAAAAATACAATATACATACTAAACTTTATTTTTAGTTTATATTTTTATTGAAAAAGAGCCATTTTTATTTATTTTATGTCCAAAATTTATTCAATTTGATTTAAAAAATTATTCTAGACAAACTTTGGGATGATAATGTAAAGGACTCTTATCTCTAAGGGTGAACATCGTACGATATTTAGCTTGTGTCGGTACAATACGAAATATATCAATTTGGTATGAGATTTTATTTTGTATTTGTCTTGATCCTGAGATTTAGATTTTTTATGATTCAAAATAGATTTTGGTAAAAATCGAGATGAATACATATCTAATTTACACTTTAAAATGTAAAAATTTTCTTTTTTTGAGAAATCAAAACTATATTTAAATAAAGAAACATGAGAAATTAAATGTAAGAATTGCTTACAAAACTTACTTTATAATTCTCAAACTAAAAAGAACATATGTTGACAAAATATTATTTCGAATGTTTGTTAATATGTTTAAGTTCATCTATAAAAAAAATAACTCGAATAAAATTACTACTTACACATTAATAAAATTTGAACAAGTTTTTCAAATTAAACTTATTATTCAATAAAAAATATGAAAATATTATTATATTTTAAAATATATTAGTATATATATTCAGTTCGGGATTCTTGGTATGAGAAGTGACTCGTATTGTTCCCAAATACAGATCTGATCATTCGATTTGCTACGGTTCAATTTTTTTAGGTGTTTTATCGGTCTGATATTTTTCAATTTAGTTTTCTCGACTTTTCTGAAAGTTCGAAATTGTTTCAGTACTTGCTTACCCTTATTTTATTTATTTATTTATTTACTCCCTCTGTCCCCATTTTGATTACAAAATTCCTTTTTTGAGTATATTAATAATAAGTCAAATCAATAAAAGATTTCCCAAAATACCCTCTCGTTCCATGGCATTGCACGTGGGTTTTAAAAAGAGGAAACATGACATCAGCAATAGTACAACACATTGAGTACATAAAGTTGCTTTAAGTTTAAAATTTTGGACAAAAAAGTAGAAGGAAAACAAAAGTAAAACTATCCAAAAATTTCAATTCCCTCCTAAATAACTACTCCTGCATTTCTTAGTATAAATAAGTACATTTACTGCACTGGTCCTTCATTCCTCTTCCACTTTAATTCCCTGCAGATTCTTTTCCTTCAATGGATCTTCCTTTATTTCCCTTTGATTTGAATGAACTTCCTCTTTTGTCAGCATCAGAAGCAGCAGCTTTTGAAGGTCTGCCAACACGTCCGGAACCTCCCGTAACTTCGGTCCTCTTCAATGGACGTCGAGCTCCAAACAATCACGACCCCAGTTTTGGACGTCTTTCAGCTGCAAACCTTTCACACCTTACTGCTCCAGCCACCGTGCAGACCGGGCATAACACGTCACCTGCAGAAAATGAAGAAAACAAACAGCAGACGCAGAACAAGCCAAGGTTGTCAATGGAGGTAAGAAAACGCATAATTGATCAATTATTATCAACATCTACGAATAACAAACTTCAGAGGGGGGGTCCTTCAATCACTGGTGCAAGAATACAACACGTGTTATAAGACCATTTACTTGTTGTGGTCTAGAGCTAAAGAACAAATGAGAGAAGGACTACCCGTTGATGTTCAAACAAAGATGAAAGGATGCGTTAGTAGGAAAAAGTTGGATCTAGATTTACAAAAGCTAGCTGGAGTTCCTTAATGTAAAAGGAATAATTTGAGATCAGTGGCAAGCCAACTAAATGTCTCGAAAACAACCGTGCACAGGTTGTTCCAAAGGAAGGAGATAAAGCGACATTCAAATGCCATAAATCCTCTTTTGACACCCATCGGTAAGTTAAAAAGGTTGCGGGTTTGTTTAGATAACTTAGTGCGTGACACCATTCCCACGAACCCTACTTTTCATCACTTTTATGATCATGTTCACATTGATGAGAAATGGTTTCAGCTAACCCAAGAAACAACCACTTTTTACACCCTACCAACTGAGGATGACCCATATAGAACCATACAATCAAAAAAGTTCATTCCAAATATCATGTTTGTAGCAGCAGTAGGGAGGCCAAGGTTTGGGGAAACTGGTGAAACTTTATGGGATGGGAAGGTTGGAATTTTTCCCTTTACATTTGAGGAAGCTGCAAAAAGAAACAGCAAGAATAGGCCAGCACTTACACTGGAAACAAAGCCAGTTGATGTTGTTAACAGAAAAGTAATGACGGAAATGATGCTTACTAGAGTCATACCAGAAATCAAGTTGAAGTGGCCTAATGCTCATAACAAGCACATTATCATACAACAAGACAATGCAAAACCACATGTAGACCCTGGTGACCTAGACATTGTACAAGTATGTCAAGAGGATGGTTGGGATATTAAACTCCAGTTCCAGCCTCCCAACAGTCCTGAGTTAAATGTCTTGGACTTGGGATTCTTTAGAGCTATTGACAGTATCAAAGATCAAAAAGCTCCAAAGAATGTTAAAGATCTAATCAGTGATGTGGAAAAATCATTTGATGAAATGACTCCACAAAAACTGAATAAGGTTTTCTTAACCTACCAATGTTGCATGGAAGAGATTATAAGGCAAAAGGGGGTAACCAGTATAAGATTCCACACATGGGAAAAGACAGGTTGGAAGGGCTGGATCAGTTACTAGATAACATTCAAGTTACCATGGATGATGTTGAGGCTCTTCAGAATTTCATAGCATCACAAGGTGGTGTATGAAATTTCAAGTTGTATCATTTTTTTGGTACTTGTGTGCAAATGCTGTGGGGACATGTACCTATTTAAGTGTACTGTCCGTTTTCACTTTTTTGCTTTTTGGGTTTTTGGGTGTTGGATTTATGTATGTACATCACAAACAAGGGCTAGGATACTTTATAACTCCATCCCCATACATAGTGTTTGCACATGTACAATAACACTTTATTAAAGTGTAGCAATGTAAAATGTAGGTTTTGAATGTATGTTATGCAATCTTAATGCTAGCCATCACACACAGAAGAATCAAACACAACTTTTGTAATAGTCCATCATAGATCTCAGGGTCTATACTAAACCAGGGACACCTTATACCTCAGAACATATTGTAATCAAATTAGGACCTGAAGGAGTAATACTTATAGGATTCATCCCTCAGGGAATATTGTAATCAAAATAGGGAGAGAGAGAGACTTCAATTAGTGTCATAATTTATCTCATTTTAACCAAAAAGTAGTCACCTTATACCTCAAGGCCAAAACACAAACAAAAGTCGCTGTGGTAGACCTCAGGGCAGAGTGAATAACATTTTGCATAGCATAGCACATGATAAGTGGGAAATGGGGATCTCAGGAAAAGCAAAACATTTTGCATCATAAACTAGACCCACTTAAATACGTAATGGGATAGGGACCAGGGACATCTACTACCAAAGAACTCAGCAAAAACACACAACATACATAATGAGACAGGGACCAGCACATCGGGGAGCATCATAGTTCTTACGCATCCTCCCAAACAGAGGTGGAAACAAACAAGAGCTATCACAGATCAATCAATACGTTCCTAGCTACGCCACAATGGTAAAGGTCAAATTAACATGGCATTCTTTTATCCCAGTTCAGAATTTTGAAGCATACCCCCATATCATCATCAGTTTCAAAAAAACTTACCACCAGCCTGGATGCGCATTAAATAAATAAAAGGAGAATTCATACCACATGGTTCGAGCCAAGAAGGTCTTTTTGGAGGAGTATCCATGAAAAAATAGTCCATGCATGTCATTTTTGTCGGGTCATACACAGAGGTTACCTCTTCCTCTTCCCCTTCTTCGCTCGAAAACCCCACTTTTGTATCTTCTACAACCAAGCAGTTGTATTTCTTTCTAAATCTCCAGGTAGGGTCTGTTTCAGACGTGTACGAAGGTGATTCAAAGGGAACCACACAGGTATTTTTATATTCGGAGATGGGAGGAGATCTAGATCTAGATCTAGATTTTAAAGGTGATTCTTGTGACAAAAGATGGAAAGTAGGCATGGACGAATCTGGCGTCCATGGAAGATAAAGAGGAATGACAGAAGATGAAGAGGAATGAGGGCGGATGGGATTTCGAGAAGTTAAGGGGACAGATGGGTGGATATTATTGTGGAGGGGTATTTTGGACAAATACATGGTAAATTTTACCAAAATGGAATTTTGTAATCTATTTCGGTACAAATAGAAGAAGGAGTATTGTAATCAAAATGGGGACGGAGGGAGTATGTAACTGCATCAACTAATCAGGTTTGACATGCATTTCCGATTACTCAAATTGTACTAATAAGCTTCTAGCCCGACTTCACTTTGTGACAAAAAAAGTTACGGAGGATTATTTGGGAGGAAATTCTATGTATTTCTCTCTTGTCTTTACAATTTACAATGAGGACATATATATAGGAGACTCCTAATAAGTAAAGGAAAATTAAAAAAGGAAAGAATCCCTATACAAGGAAAACTACCAAAACTATATACACAAATATCTCCAAATATTCTACCAAATATTCTACCAAATATTCTCTTTCCTTTAACACCCCCCTCAAGTTGGAGCATGTAGTAACGAAATGCCCAACTTGGGAAGAAGAAACTCCAAACGTGACTTTCCGAGTGCCTTTGTATGAATGTTTGCAAGCTGATGCGTAGTAGGCACATGAAGTGTACGAATCTCTCCTCGCAAGAGCTCATCACGAACGAAGTGACAATCAATCTCAATGTGCTTCGTGCGTTCGTGGAAAACCGGATTAGCAGCAATGTGAAGTGCTGCCGTGCTGTCACATCGGACCGTCATGGGGTCCTTATGCTCAACCCCTAAACACCGCAAAACATTCTTCAACCACTTCAACTCACATGTAAGGACAACCAAAGCTCTATACTCTGCTTCAGCAGACGAGCGAGCCACCGTCGATTGCTTCTTTGTTTTCCATGAGACAGGCTAGTCTCCAAGCTGCACAAACCACCCTGTCAATGACCGCCTCGTCAAAGGACATGCTGCCCAGTCCAAATCACACCATCCTGTGAGTTGAAGACTACTCTCTGCTGACAGAAAAATGCCCTGACCTGGACATCCTTTCAAATAACGAACGACTCTAAAGGCCGCAGACCACTGATCCTCCCTTGGTTCCTTCAAAAACTGTGCTAAAGTGTGGACGGCGTAAGAAAGTTCCGATCGTGTAACGGAGAGATATACCAACCTTCCTACCAACCGTCGATATGGTTCTAGATTTGCAAGGACCGGGGCTTGGGAACGAGCCAAGTGATGATTTGGCTCCAATAGGGCACCCAACGGCCTGGCACCTAACAACCCCGCCTCAGTGATGATGTCTAAGGCATACTTTCGTTGGCAGAGAAAAATCCCAGACATGCTCCTCGCCACCTCAATGCCAAGAAAGTATTTCAGTGTTCCCAAGTCCTTTATATGAAAACAATCTCCGAGATAGGCTTTGAACTCGCTTACCATCTCTGTATTATCTCCAGCAATAATCAAATCGTCAACATAAACCAAAACATGTATGACTCCTTTCTTTCCAACAAAAGAAAATAAGGAGTAATCAGCAACAGATTGAGCAACACCTTGGAGCTTGCTTTAAGCCATACACAAATTTCTTGAGTTTGCACACCACATTAGACGAATTCGAGAAACCAGATGGCAATCTCATATACACCTCATCCTGAAGATCTCCGTGTAAAAATGCATTGTGAACATCCATCTGATGCAATTCCCACCCCTTAACTGCTGCAATTGCTAAAAGCGTTCTCACAGTGGTCAACCTGACTACAGGAGCAAATGTTTCTTTGTAGTCAAGTCCTTTGACCTGATGATTGCCAAGTATAACAAGTCTGGCCTTATATCTCTCTACACTTCCATCAGACTTGCGCTTGATCTTATATACCCATTTGCAACCAAGGGGCTTTTTATGGCGTGGAGGAGACACAAGAGACGACGTCCCATTAGCCTCCAGTGCATCAATCTCCTCTCTCATAGCCTTCCTCCATCGTTCATCCTGGAATGCCTTCTTGAAACTTGTGGGCTCCACTCCAGCATCAAGAGCGCTGAGAAAACACTTGTGTCTGTCAGAGAACTTCTCGTGTGTGACATACGAGGCAAGAGGATATTTGCATTTTTCACCAACATGTGAACCAGCTACATGGGTAACATAATCGGCAAGGCGTACATTTGGACGTTTCTCACGTTGACCACGTCCCAAGTTCTCCACCGCCTGCTGGGAAGAGGACGATCGACCGCCGTCCGTGGAACGGACCACGGGGTCGACCGTCTGAAGCTGTTCTAGATTGCTAACTTTCTGCCTCGGAGACGGTCGACCGTCTTCCACATCATGGTCGACCGTTTGATCATCTCCAAACGAAACACCATTCTGCCTCGCGGACGGTCGACCGTGGATATCAGAACGGTCCACCAGGTCGACCGTTTGGTCATCTCTCAGGGACCCGTCATTCTGCCTCTCGGACGGTCGACCGTGGACAACCGAACGGTCCATCCGGTCGACCGTCTGTAGCCTGTCTGCTCCACCGCTTTCCTCTGGTCGACCGTCCCTCCTGGAACGGTCCATCTGTTCTTCCGTCCGCAGTTCTTCATCTTCATCATAAGAGCTAACCTCATTTGTACTTCCTGTATTAAGAGATGCACCTGTAGGAGTCAAGAAAGGGAAAATATATTCACAGAACACAACATCCCGGGACACATTAATTTCCCCAGTGTCCGGGTAGTAAATACGCCATCCTTTCTTTCCTTGCGGATATCCAACAAATATTCCAGGATTGCTTCTTGCTGCGAATTTATCTCCATTCCTCTTCAAGTTATGAGCATAACATATGCATCCAAAAACACGAATATGAGCCAAAGAAGGTGGCTTTTCATAGATCTTCTCGTATGGTGTGACCCCCCCTAGCAAAGACGAAGGTGTGCGATTGATCAAATGTGCGGCGGTCTGTATACACTCTCCCCAGAACCTAATCGAAAGACCTGCCTCAAACCTCAAAGCCCGACCCACATTCAAAATGTGTCGGTGCTTGCATTCTACTCTCCCATTCTGTTGTGGAGTAGACACACAAGACGTATCATGAATAATTCCTTGCTCCTTGAAATATTCGTTTAGAGATTCAAATTCTGTGCCATTATCACTACAAACACACTTTATTTTTTTCCCAAATTGTCGCTCTACCATAGCACAAAATTGTTTAAAAACAGTGCCAACCTTGCGTTTGGAATCAAGCAAATGTACCCAAACACCTCTTGAAAAATCATCCACAATGGTGAAGAACATTGTAGAACCATCAAAACTTGGAGTCCTATACGGTCCCCATAAATCATAGTGTATCATATCAAATTTATCAGCCGATTGATAAAAATTTATAGGAAAGCTCCCACGAGTCTATTTAGCACGCAAACAAATGTCACAACAACTGTGACTACTCTTACTTGTTCCAACTCCAGGAATAAGAGACAAAACATGAGAGGAAGGATGTCCAAGTCGTTTGTGCCAAAGATCAAACTTACTTTCCTTCTTCGCACTGCACACCATCTTCTTTTCAGGCTCCTTAAAGTAATAAAGTCCTCCTTCCTGCTCACCCATACCAATTTCTGTCTTTAAATACAGATCCTGTAGTATACACTTATCGTTGGCAAAACGTGCCTCACAGTTCGAATCCCTTGTCAATTGTGACACAGAGATTAAATGGCAACTCAAAGTGGGAACATATAGGACATCGTGCAGAAGTAATGTTTCTGTTAATTTAATCTTCCCAGATTGTACAGAAATAATTCTTTTCCCATTGGGCAAACCAATCTCACATGGTGATATTCCCACGACGTCATGCAATAACGAAATATCACCAGTCATATGATTTGATGCCCCAGTATCTATAATCCAACGCGGTGACACAGGAATACCTGAAAGCTTCACACTGGAAACACACGATCATAGGGAGAAAAACATCTTCCTTGGTTGTTCATCGGCCATGGCGGTAGCAGAGTGGCGTACGGCGGTGGTAGAAGAGTCAACAACAGCATCTATCACACAATATGCCGACGAGACGGTCGACGTGCTCAACCGTTCAAGAGCAACGGTCGACC